TTAGAATTGACTTCTTCCAAACTCCTCTTCGTGTGGATCTTTTGATTTCCTCTCATGAATTATGAATGCTCTTGATGGTATCTAAAGGTGAATCCTTCCTAGGACATTTTCAGTTAACTTTTCCCAGGTCCATCAGACAAATCACTGTCTATGCTAGCCCACTATTGCCTTTCGAATTTTATATCTTAAATAATGAAACTTGAAAGTCAATTTCTTCCTAATCTGTGAGCTGCAGAATGGATATTGCACCAACAGGCGAGAAAACAACATTAACCTTCTGCATCTCCCTTGGAGCTCTTGGAGAGTTGATATATTGTCAATGAGCAGTGATATTTTTAAAGGAATCCTTTTTCCTAAGTAATAATTCTCAACAGTCGGCTTAAAATATTTAGTAAACCATGTTGTAACCAGATGTCTAGTCATCCAGGCTTTTTTGTTCCATTTATAGAGCACAAGCAGAGAAGATTTAGCATACTTCTTAAGGGCTCTAGAATTTTCAAAATGGTAAATAAGTATTGGCTTCTGTAAAGCAACTGAAACTCTTAAGTAAAGCAACTGAAACTCCTCAGCTGCTTTAACCCCTAATAGGAAAGTCAGCCTGTCATTGGGGTTCAAAGACAAGCTGTAGCTACGGAAGTGCTAGATGGCATCCTCTCTAAATAGGAAACTATTTCATCAGCCTTGAACATCTGCTGTTCAGTGTAGCTGCCATCCTCACTGATCCTAGTTAGAGCTTCTGGATAACTTGCTGCGGGTTCTACAACAGCACTTACTGCCTCACCTTGCACTTTTGTTTCTTTCTAAATACTGAACTTGAGACAAGTTGTTGTAAGTTCACAGTAGTCTTTCATTGACTGGTTTTTACTTTACTTGTTTCCTCAGAAACCCCATGGTGGGTCAGACAGGACACCCCTCACTGCTCTTCCTACAGTCAGCTTTTAGACCCCAGACACAACCAGCCTGGAAACAGCCTCGGCACATCTAATCTTAAATCATCTTGTTACTGCAGACACCTCTGAGGTCCCCAAGAAACCTTTGACAGAGTTGTCTAAACTGAAGCCTTGAGAAAGGAAGGCTTTCAAGCTGAAACCAAAGAAGTTCACCTAAAACTCACTCCTGCACTCCTCTGGTATAGAAAAGTACTATTTTTGAAGACTGAATTTCCTCTTCAAGCATACTGCACGTTGTCCTTTAAAAAAGTAGGTGAAATCTTCAGGAATAAAAGCTGAGTTTCCAAACGGCCCTGCCCTGGATATTTGTGTTTCCTTGGCAGCCTTTCTCCAGGCTGTCCTCGAGCGGGCTATGATGTTGCCTGCCTTGTCCATGAGCTCAGTCCCTCAAGTGGGCTCTGAGCTTCAGGATGCACAAACATTCATTCCACTGACTTGGGCATGAAGATGAGAGGTGAGGCTCCTGTGGCCTAAGGGTTATGCAAGGAATACTTCATCTGAGCCAAATGAGGGGTCAACCCAAAGAAGATTAAAGAAATAATTACTACTGCCCCCAGTATTCTGCTTTCTTGTGAACGACTATAATTCTCATTTTCATTGATAATTTCGAATGCACTGGTATGAGGAGAGAAGGAAACCTGAGGTAAAATCACAGACTTTATCCCTTTTGCTGACATTATCACAAAAATACCAAGGATGCCATGAAAGACCAGAAAGCTGCAGGTCAGGACATGCTGTCGAGAGCCTCCTCTTGGAAGCTGCTTCTGTCCTTTGGTCCTCCAAGTCATGTCTAGATGGATCTTCATTTGTGACTACTAGTTGCCTCTGTTTTTCTGGTTTTTTTTTTTTTTCATTGAAATGACCAATTTGTAAGACCTAATAATTTTGTCAAACAGAAGGTTGGCACTCATTGTTCCAGAAGTGCCCGCTGGGCTCCACGTGAGTGGCGGCACCTCTGCACCCTGGGAGCCACCCCACACCTATACTTCCTCCTCCTTTTCCCAGGACCTATATCCACTTTACTTTCTCTTTTTCCTTAAAACTTATGAACCAACCTTTGCTAGCTTCCAACTTCTGTTTTACCACTTCCTTACCTGTTTCAGACTTCATGGAATTGAAGACAGACAGGTAGAGATTTGATGTAGCTGAGCTTTGGCTTAATGGACTGTTGTGGCTGCTTTGGTCTTCTATTCAGA